GACATAATTTAAAATAAAATTCAATTTACCACAGAAGTCTGGTAACATTTGTTTTAAAGTAAATGTTTCCAAAATGCCTGTAAAAACGTTTGATTGCAAAAGATTAGCTGGGGCTGGGAATCAGTACTAGATCCCCTTCACACCTGGCCTGCTGACATAGCTGATGTCAGAAGCTGTCCTCCAACCTCCAGACACGTGTAGCTGACCTGAACAGCCTATGGCAGTAGCAAAATGACCCTTGCAACAGAAGCCTGCAGTCTCCCCAGCATGGAGAGCTGCCTAGCCACACACTGTGCAGAAAAGCTGATGACAAAGGATCTGGGGTTGGTGACCTGCACTGCCCAGGAGTGTTCCGGCTGCTGCAGGAGCCACAAAGCTAACTGAAGAAAGCCTCGGGGCATGCTCTCACTGTCTGACTGTAGGATCCCAAAAACAAAGTCACTCTCAAAACAAGTCAACAACCACAGCAGCACCTCTCATCCCACCAGGTCTCCAGCCTTATGCAGACAGAGTGGGAGCCCTCAGCTGCCATATGGGTGATTGATGGCTCTTCAGCGTCAGACTCCTTACCAAGCTGCTGCTGTCCAGAACCATCAGGAGGCAGCTCAGGCAGCTCAAAGCACAGCCACCAGTTTTGGCTCTGCTTCTACACTTCTCACAAGCCTTTCCACCAAGGCGCCCAGACCTCAGTATCTGGCAGCAGCTAGCACAAGAAGGCCAAAAGTCTGATAAAGTTAAAGCAGTGCCAGGTATATAAATCAGGTACATAAATCAATCTGATCCAAGAACCTAAGGAAAAGCCCTAAGGCCTCAAGTGTTACTGGGGATGCAGTCATCATCTCACCAGCTAGCAGCAGGCCAGAGCCCAGCCACGCACCAGTTATCAGCAGGACCTCCCCACATCCAGGCTGAGTTTTGTTCATAACTTGACAGGAGAGAACAACAGTACCAGAGTAACTAAGCGATGCACAGTGCCCAAAACAACATTCAAGTCTCATCACATTGTGTCATTTGTTACATGTTTCTTCAGAACTGCCTCTCCCTTAAGCCACCAGATTAATCCCCTCCAAGCTGCTCTATCATTCCCCCTCTTCAACTGAACAGGGCAGGAGAAAATACAACAATACAACAAAAGGCTCATGGGCAGAGATAAGGACAGTGCAATCACTCAGCAATTACCATCACAGGCAAAACAGACTTGACTTGAGTAAATTATTTAATTTATTGCCAATCAAAGCAGAGTATACTAGTGAGAAATAAAAACAACCCTTAAAACACTCCACCTTTCTTCCCAGGCTCAACTTAATTTTCTAATTCTCTACCTCCTCCCCTCTGATCAGTACGGGGGGGATGGGGGTTGCGGTCAGTTCATCACGTCATCTCTGCTGCTCCTTCCTCCTCACTCTTCCCCTGCTCCAACATGGGGTCCCACTCATGGGAGACAGTCCTCCACAAACTTCTCCAATATGGGTCCTTTCCATGGGGTGTAGTCCTTCAGGAACAGACTGCTCCAGCATGGGTCCCCCATGGGGTCAAAGTCCTGCCAGAAGACCTGCTCCAGTGTGGACTCCTCTCCACAGGGCCACAGGTCGTGCCAGGAGCAAACTCCAGCATGGGTTTCCCACAGGGTCACAGCCTCCTTTGGGCATCCACCTGCTCTGGTATGGGGTCTTCCACAAGCTGCAGGGTGGATATCTCCTTCACTGTGGCTGCAGGGGGACAACCTGCTTCACCATGGTCTTCACAGGCTGCAGGGGAATCTCTGCTCCAGCCCCTAGTGGACCTCCTCCCCCTCTTTCTTCACTGACCTTGGTGTCTGCAGAGTTGTTTCTCACATATGCTCAACTCTTTTTTGGCTGCTTGTCTTGGTTTTATTGACAGTGTACCAGGAGGCGGGACCTCCGATGGAATAGAAACCCCTCCCCCTAAATTACGAACAATTTTGAAATTATGAGGCATTCGAGTATGAAAATGAATAACAATTTTACTAAAAATGGAGAACAAAACAGAATAAAACAATGATAAAACAATAACAGAGGAAATGTCACCCAAAACCACTCTCTCAGCTCTGTGCTGCCGAGATGACAACACAGTCCCGACATGGTCATGTGGTCCCGATGTAGCCTGGGCAGAGTTGTGACTGTATGAGCAGTAACAATGGCAGCGGTGGCCACGCGGGAGCGGTGACTCCAGGCAGAGATGCTGGCGGCTGTAGCGGTGGCAGGGCTCCGAGTGGCAGGAAACGACAGGGACGAGCGACAGGGAAAAAAACCCAGCAATAGCTCACCATGCACACAAAGGGGGCTTTCCCAGCTGGCAGCAGTAAAGTAGCTACAGCAGGCGAGCTGTGGCAGCGAAGCAGGTCCCCCCACAGCAGCTGGCAGCGAAGCAGGTCCCCCGCAGTGGCTACAGTGGGCGGGCGGCAGTAGCCAAGCAGGTCCCCTGTGGCGGCTACAGCGGGCAAGCAGCAAACTCCTCCGAGCAACAGCCCAGGACAAAGAGACCAGGCCCCCCTTGTGCCAGCAGTTTTATTCTCCTAAGTTCTAATGGGATTTGTCCCAGTGGGAGCCCTCCTCCCTCCCTGTCCCCCCGGGGGGGGGGCAGAGTGTGTCCCCCCGCGCTTCTCCAAAAACCACATGATGGTATGGAGAAATTTAGCTAAACCATAACACTGCTGTTCCACAGCAGTTTTTTCCCCTTTCTAAATATGTTACCACAGAAGTGCTACCACCATTCCCAATTGACTCAGCTTTGGCCAGCAATGGAGCCAGCTGGCATTGGCTCTATGGGATATGGGGGAAGCTTCTGGCATCTTCTCACAGAAGCCACGCCCATAGCCCCTCTTCTACTGAAACCTGGCCATGCAAACCCAATACAGATATAAATCCAGAAACCTCACCAACAAAGCAAGAGCAGCATCACCAGGGAAGACACAGAGGGGTACATCTCTTTGGAAGGAGACCAGCAGCTTTTACAGGTATCACTTTCTGTCTTCACCTCTCTGCTCTCACTAGTACAACAGTCTCCATAAGCAGAGTGGTTACTGTAGTGGAGAGACTGAAAAAACTTAAAACACATTAACACAACTGAAGAGATTATATTATTTAGAAGTTTGGTCTAAATAGTCGTTTCTTCGCTGGCAAGACTTCTTGCCCCTTCAGGATTGTCTAGTACCATACAGATTTGTTTGGATAATAATTATGAGAAAAGTGAAACAAGCAACACAACTGAATGCTCTCAGCAGTGACAGTAAAGCAGTTTGAGTTTTGTTTTCCAGCTTTTCTGATTAATCAGGAACCCCATTTCCTCATTTCAAACTGTCACATTTCTCACCTAGGAAGGAAAGTTGGGCAACTGCTTTACCTGCACCCACAGGCCTCTGTGTGCTGAATGTCCTTCTTAGACAAGTTTTAATTTCAGCCCCACTAATAGAAGCTGGTTAAGCTCAATACTATGGGATACGTGCAAGGCAATGTCCTGGTCCTACTCATCATTCATCTCCACATCTCTTAGATACTTACCAGGTACATATTTTCTCAGCATTATTTTAAGTAAAGGTAATTAATGTAGTTGAGAACCTCACAGACAATTCCAGGAGTTAACACTGGACCCAAATTACATGTTTTTTTCATATAAAGTTAACTACATAATAGACACAAATGTCATCTCCTTCGGGGTCCTGATGAGCTAAAACCTCCTACTGGAAAACCTAAACTGAGGCAATGAGCGAAGTCATTTTCCCCTCCCTAAGTTCTCAATGCTCCCAGCTCTGTGCTGTAACACAAATTCCCTAGGCTTGGTTTTTGCACCACTGCAGCCATCTGCCTGGAGACCTCTGGTTGTTCTGCCCAACACACAGTGTTCACATGTGCCTACGGGAGCAGACAGCACTTGGGCAGGCAGGATCCAGCAAGTTGTTAATTTGCTGAAGCCAAAGAGCATGAGAGATGGGAACCATGACACTGGGACTTATATTGAGGGTTTTATTAGTTGTTCTTCTGCAAAATCAAAATATTTAGCAAATTACTTTAAAGATTCCTCAAGACTGTTGATATTTTAAGTATTTAGAACTTTAACTATCAAAACCAACCCAAAACCTGATTTCTAGTTCTAGATGCTATTATGTAATTCTATAGCAGTGTGAGAAACGGAACTAATGCAGTGAATATATCTCTTTTAAAGAAAGTGCTTGAAAGAAACCTCCTGCATCACACCAAGTATTATTTAAAACAAAAAGATAACTGATTTCCTAGCAGAGCATTGCCTTAAATATCCTACAAACCTGGGGGATTAGGAATACTGAGCTCCAGCTCTCTGCCTTCAGGTTCAAGAACCAACATAAGTTGAAGGTCTAGATAGAGTTCACAGCTTACCTGTTTCAAGGGAACTTAAACACCACTCAACATTGAACACTCATGTCTGGAAGAAGTGTTGGATGCATGGGTAAAAAAACCCCAAGAGGAACAGGTTCTCTATGCATAGTGACAGTTTACAAACCAGTGTTTTACTAAGTTGCAGACTTTCCCCCAAAAAAATTGCACTAGAGGTCAAATTTAACCAGTTAATCTGGACTATGACACAGTCAAGTAATTCTGTACAAGCAGATACCATGAAAGCAGTTTCAAAGAACCAAAGCATCCTAGTTTCAGAACCAACTTAATGTTCTTCTGTTCAACTCCAGTGCAACAATGAGTGGGAGAAACCACTCCATCTCTACCTATGTACAATTCCAGTAGAGGCTGGGCAGTCTAAACTCTCTGTGGCCAAGCTGGAAAAAGGAAACTTAGGAAAGGACACTTTAAAAAATTAATTTCAGAAAGAAAGTTGGCTCTCAGGGGAAAAAGAAATCCTAGAGGGATGCCCATGGGCAGACTCGTGCAGACGCTCTCCCTTATATGCAAAAAGCCAGACTCCTTCCTGCTGAGATTAAGTCACCCTGGATGTGAAGGTGGCAGGGCTGGTCCTGCTCCACTGTATGATGAGAATCCAGGAATGTGTTTTCAGCTGGTTCCTGCACGGGCCATTAGATCTTCCAAAGCCTTCTGTTGGTCATTGTTATGCAATAATAAGACCTCCTTAATGTCTTTTAGTTCAAAGCCCATTTCTTTAAATTGACTCATTAGTTGGAGAAGCTCTGTGATCTGAAAGACACAGACAGTCCATTATTTGCAAGAGAAAAGAGGATCAGTGCTCAGTGGAGGTTTAGCACAGAGCCAGTCTTCAGTGACTGGGCACCCCATAGGGTGGATTTCTACACCCCAAGTACAGCCTGTTTCAACTCTGGTTGGAGAAAGTCTGCTCACACCAGAGTCGGCAGAGCTTTGGGTGCAGTAGCCCATGGAGCCTCACACCTTCAGTCCCGTGTTTGCAGTCCTGCATTTCCAAAATCCTCTTCAGCAAGGGCACCAAAGCTCCTTCTGTGGGGGTGTCTCTCCCAATAGGAAATTTATCAGCCTGCCCTAACGAACTCTGATTAATGTCACCCTATTCCCCCACATCTAGCAACTACTGTTGCATCTTAATTTCTTTAGTTACTTTGGGAACAGCACAGTAGCCCTTGCTATCAAATGGCTCTTCAGATCTAGGGCAAACTTGTGGGATTAGCACAAATCCTATTGGACACACTGTGTAAAATACTACCAACATAAACCGCAAATCCTCCCTGAATTTTGTAAAAAATAAAGTAACAAGAAGTGAATGATTGATCAGACTTTTATGGACCCCCTGCCATTTACAGGACCTCCACTCCACTTTGGGGGAATGATGACAAAATCAAACCAAACCAAAACAGGTTGAAATGGATGATCAGGAGACTAGCCATTTCCAGATTTGGGGTTTAAGCCTGTAGCAAATTCATTTACTGAACTAGGTCACTTCTCCCATCTTCACACTGTTCCTCTGTTTACAAGCTCATCACCAAGTCCAAGAAAGCCAGGAAGGCATATATATGACATTAGTAACAACTAACGTTAACTACCTGGACTTGTGCAAAGCATTTGACAGTCCCACATGACATCCTTGTCTCTAAACTGGAGAGACAAGGATTTGATGGGTGCACCACTCAGTGGATAAGGAATTGGTTGGATGGTCACACTCAAGGAGTTGCAGTCAAGGGCTCAATGTCCAAGTGGAGACCAGTGATGGGTGGCATTCCTCAGGGGTCAGTATTGGGACTGGTGCTGTTTAACATCTTTGTTGGTGACATGGACAGTGGGATTGAGTGCACCCTCGGCAGGTTTCCTGCTATGTGGTGCAGCTGACACACTGGGGGGAAGGTATGCCATCCAGAGGGACCTTGACAGGTGGGCCTGTGCAAACCTCATAAAGTTCAACAAGGCCAAGTGCAAGGTCCTGCACCTGGGTCAGGGCAAATGATGGTATCGATACAGGCTGGGGGATGAACCTATCGAGAGCAGCCCTGCCAAGAAGGACTTGGGGGTGCTGGTGGATGAGAGGCTGGACACGACCCAGCAATGTGTGCTTTCAGCCCAGAAACCCAATTATATCCTGGGCTGCATCAAAAGCAGTATGGCCAGCAGGTCAGGGGAGGTGATTCTGCCCATCTACTCTGCTCTCGTGAGACCCCACCTGGAGTAATGCATCCAGTTCTGGGGTCCTCAGCACAGAAAGGACATGGACTCACTGGAGCGAGTCCGAAGGAGGGCCATGAAGATGATCAGAGGGCTGGAGCCCCTCTCCTATGAAAACAGGCTGAGAAAGATGGGATTGTTCAGCCTGGAGAAGAGAAGGCTCTGGGGAGACCTTGTAGCAGCCTTCCAGTACCTAAAGGGGCTACAAGAGAGCTGAAGAAGGACTTATTACAAGGGCATGTAGTGACAGGACAAGGGGGAACGGCTTTAGACTGAAAGAGGGTGGGTTTAGGTTAGATGTTGGGAAGAAATTCTTCACTGTGAGGGTGGTGAGGTGCTCGAACAGGTTGCCCAGAGAAGTTGTGGTTGCCCCATCCCTGGAAGTGTTCAAGGCCAGCTTCCAGGTGTCCCTGCCCATGGTGGGGGGAGGTGGTACTAGATGATCTTTATGGTCCCTTCCAACCCAAACCATTCTATGATTCTATGTCTGGGGGGGTTGAGTTGTACCTCTAAAACTTTCATATAATAACTTGGCACACAACAGACAGTCAAACTTTAAAAGATACTGCTGTCTTCTGAGCTGGTTACCTGTTCCTGCCTCTGTATTTTTGGTGTTTGTAAAACAGCCAGACCTCAAAAAACATTTTGGATCTTCTTCAAGAGAGACCACTAACCCAATTTGCTGAGCAGCCAGGCAGATGCATTTGTACAAGGGAGAAAATTCACGGCCAGGGCAGGTTGACCCATTTTGAAAGATAATTTGCTGGTTCTGAAATTAACTGTCTCTATACCAAGCACCCTGCCCACAAGAGAATTCTGGGTTCAAAACATTACAATCAGAATAATCAGGGTCTTGAAAAAATCCTGTCCCCATAAAAATGCATTCAAGTGAGAATGCTTTAACACATATACACTTTATCACCACAGAGATGTTCTTCAGCAGTCAATTTTGGAAATAAGGCAGCATTACACAAAAGCCAGAGGAACTGCACACTCTCTCTATTCTAGCACACATTGCGCCCTCACCTTCTCCTCTGAACGCTGGTGCATTTCCAAAGCTGCTTCAACAAGAAGTGGATCAAAGCCCTTCTCACAAAGCTGTCCATGTACAAACAGGTAATCCAAAACCTGTGGGGAATGAAGAAAAGAAATTAAGCTTGCAGAGTAGCATTTGCAGCACATGGCTGAATACCATGTTTATACACTCAGAGGGGCTCAGCACAACTTTACCCTGGGCTTCCTAGTAGATGAGACAGTCTTTATGCAAGAACTTGTTCAGAGAAAGCAGAGGACCCCTTCTGTCCTCCTGTGTTCTCCCACCAGCTCTAAACATCATCTTCTGCTCTAGTCAAAACAGTCTCACAAGCCAATCTTTAGAAGTTTAACTGTGCTTTTTATACTATAAGTTTTTAAGATGAAACTGTAGGTTCAGCAGTCAATATATGTCAGCTTTTAGCTTCCTCTCAGACATCCACAAGCACAAGAGCTGATGCAATCCGAAAGCAGTCAACCTTTCAAGACCAACTCAGCATACTGGTGAGTGAGCTGCAAATCCCAGCTCACACACACAGAAACCACTGCCAAATTTCTTATCTGTCCTCAGTTTTGAGAGTTAGGGGGAAAGGTCAGATAGGTAATAATTCTCGATGTGTAGGTAGCCAGCAAGCAGATCAGCTCCACAAGAAGGAGTCACTGGGATGCTCCTCCTCCCCAGGCAACAGGCACAATCTTGCCAGGCAATGCTCTGCACACAGCCCACCTAGGGTTTCCCACACAGAAAGTTGGCCATACTCTCCCTGCTTTAAAATGTTTGTTTGAAGCAGATTCAAGACCCAGAGCCATGCTTCACCCTGCAGCTCTTTATGCTCAGTGACCTGGTTTTAGCAAGCATTTGAGGCAATGCACGAGACAGGAAGCAACACAGCACACAAAAGAAAGTCTGTCAGCAGTGCTTTGCAAGAGCCTTTCAGGGGTGTTGTAAGCCTGCAAGGGCAAATCCCTCTCTACAAGGAGAGACATCAGCATTGCAACCCATTCTCAGAACAAGGGAAGTTGGCTGGTTTTTTGTCACATGGCACTAAGCATGGCACAGAGCCATGCTAAGCTTCCTTCACATGGTTTTGTGGCTCCTGGGAAGGCCCAGTACATCTCCCAGCTTCACGTGGAGCTAAGGGTCCATCCCAAGCTCAGTGCAGCTCTGACCCAGCACCCACAGGTGTGGCCAACTCAGTCTCTCATCAGAAACAAGTGTGGACACTCTTGTTTTGGGAGCCTTTACTGCCAGGTGACAACTTCTCTAGTGGTTAATGTCCCAGCAGTTACAGGCTGCAACCCCCTGTTAGAATATATTCCCCCCCATCCATTTTGCAAAACCAAGTTTGTTTCTCAGCAGAATCAGCATCCAATCAAGGGTTTCTTCCCCATTGCACAAGCTCTTACTTGGTCTATGTTCTGCCCCTTCTTCTTCATGGCTTTCAGGACGTCCTCAGGTGCATACCCCATGTTGACAACCGTCTCTATGCACTGCCTCTCACTAGCAGAGAGGGCCTGCTGTAGTTCAAGAGTGGGGCCACCTGACCGCTTTGTGCAGCTGGTGTTATTGGGCACTTTAGACACAGGGAAATTTTGATGCATTACCTAAAGGGGAAAATCCAGAGGCTGAGGTGATAGTGCAGAACCAGGATACCCCATGTAATTAATCCAAGAGGCTTTCTAGACTGCCCTTGGGAAGTTACTCACTGTTAGGATGAAACCAAGCAGTGCACATAGTCTGATTCCCACTATACTTTTTTAACCCTCAAAACAACCAACAACCCAGATTCTTTCCAATATACCCTCTCCTACCAGTGGATGAAAACCTTTAAATACCCAACCTTATGATATAGTCAAACCCTGTATCTCAGTGGAAGCATGCAGATTGCTTCCTTTATCCCAAGTTTACTCATCACCTTCTGTACTCAAAGGAACACTATTTCTGGATATTTTCAGAAATATGGTCCAGTGCAAGCACTCAGGTATTCGTGAACTTACCGTAGGGATTTCTGTTTCCTTGTAGTCTGGGTGTACCTGTTGGACAACACACGAATAAGATGACTATAAATATTATGCATTAGTGAACAGAATTTGCTACAGCTGGGGAAGAAGGGTTTTATGGGAGAGATCTGGGAATAAGTTTACTATACTAGAGAGACCTGTGGTCTGATCAGGCTTTCACATGTGGGATGCAGACATTACACAGTTGTGTGTAGTTATTGAATAGACATCATAAAGATAATTTCTTCTTTCAGCACTCTACAAAAACAGATTATACTTCAAGAAGGATGTGTCCCCTCTCATAATAATTGTAAGCTTGTTTATTCTGTCACTGTGACTTCTACATGTTCATAAAGCTCAGTGTAACATGCTGGCTCCTTGCTTGACCCAGTGCTACACTGCCTGAATGATAGTAATAATTTAAAAATCATTGCCTAGAGACTTCCCTTAATTTTTTTTGACCATGAGAAGGAGTAAGAGAAACATATACCTCTTTTCTACTCTCAAAGCACTGCATTTGATACACCTGTGATGGATGCACTCAACCCCCTTAACTAAACCTGCAGTAGTTTGGTACAGGTTCCAAAGGAGATAAAGGTCTGAGCTGTAGCTCTATGAAACACACAAAGAAGCAGAGAACATAGATGCATATGAGCTTGGAACATGATTGTGCGATCAACACATGAATAGCGTGTGACTTTTCCAAGACTTATTAAACAAGGGACAAAGAAAATTATGGGTACAAGGAGTCTCATGCATACCTTTCCCATCATATGCAATTTGACTATGAGCCAACCACTTTATCCCTGCTAGGCAGTGTGGCTGCAGGGTGGTCATCTCCCCTTGAGCTAGGATGCTTCTCAAGGTTACTCCTTGAGGCAAAGAGACCTTCTACTAACGACAGATCTTCAGGTGAGTCCAATTTGAGTTCTCTGTAAGTTGCAACTGGACTGCACACCATTGACTCTCCCCTTGAGCTGGGATGCCTCTCAATTTTTGAGATTCCTTACCTGAGGTGGAGAGACCCTTTAATTCACAACAGATCCTTGTTAAGTGACTGATAGCATGCTGAATTAATACTAATGAAATCCATGTAGCTAATTCCATTAGACATAAACGGTCATCCAAGTCTGATACTAAAATTGGACCTAGTCGCACCTAAGCTCTGTCAGGAGTTTAGAAAGCAAGGAGGTCCACTCTGAACTTCGTGACTCAGTGGAAGGGTTTCCCTTACTCTTTTGCATCTTTGGTTTCTGTGTAAATCATTCTAGCTCAATTCTAACAATTTTTTTCGTATGTTTCATCCATGTAATAAGTAATAGAGTGAACCTTGCCATCAAACTTTAAGTTGCACTTTTAGAAAATTCATATTAAAACCACTTTTGCTAATACCTTAGATCGTGATTCTTTAAGTGACCTAAATCACTTATCCACAATGCCACCATATACAAACAACATGGCACACTGGCTAAAAAGAGCATGTGATTTTTCTACCAATGCCCAGCACTTGGTCCCATTCTCAGTACACCAACAAAGCTGGGTAGTGTTCCTTGCTGTACACCTGCTCCATTTCTGCAGAACCAGGCTGCCAGAGGGCAGAACCAACCCATCATTTTATACTACTTTGCCCAAGATAACAGCAGCGTAAAGTCAGAACTTTGCCCTTTTCAATTCATCCATTTAAAAGTCTTCTTGCATTTTAAATCAAATTAGACTGCAAGAAATTACTTAGGACCAAGACCTTCTGTTTATTGCCTTTTCTTAATACCTTTTTAAGCCAACATAGATAGTTTGAAAGCTTGTCCACTTCTTTCAGAAAAGCCTTCTTTGGGCCCAAACTGAAAAAAGCAAACAAAAAAAAAAACACAACAACAAAAAACTATTTATAGAAAAACAATTTGGAGAATATATGTTAGGATTGTGACAAATTCCATCTGTTGGGGGAGAGAGGAAAAGGGGGGGGGAAGAAGAAGGTCTTGTTCTGTATTTCTGCCCATTTTCATCTCCAGGGTAAGAATTTATCTTCTAGGACACAAAGCCCAAGAAATTATGTTTGGTCTGATGGACTGGTTTATGCAAGAACATCTCTTCATGGTGGTAGAGGGGTTCAAAGCTCTTCACACACCTCCTTTCCTCCAGGCACTTTTGCCAAAACAAAAAGCATTAGAATATGGGATACACTGAAATGGGGTTCTGGAGTAGCCCTGAAATCAGCTGGTTATCAAACTGAAGGATGATGCTTTGTTATCGATGCTGCAGCCAGGAAGACCAAAACTACTTCTGACACCAGAGATTCAAGACTCCAGCACCAACTCCTCTTCCTCAATGTACTTGAGCTTGACAACCTGTGCTTGTGGTCAGTGACTTCCAGTGGAGGAGGGAAACACATAAAGGAATTGCAGGGGACAAAGCCAGGACTGGTCATTCAGCAACCATGCCCCCTTACATCTCAAACTTGCATTTCAGTGCCCTTCAAGAAGCAAATGTGCATTGCTTTCAGCATGTGCTTGCACACTGTGCTTACTTTTAGGGACTTCATACAGAAGCCAGGAGCCCTGTCTGCAGCTGGTGTGCCTGTGAAACAGGAGCCAGGCCTAGAAGAGTTAACTGAGATATCTTGGCCTGCTAAGAAACCCCAATACCTGTTTTGCTAGAAGAACATTTTAGGAGCACTGGTTAATATCATGTTCTGTTCTGCTCACTGGACCAAAGGCCTTATTATAGAAAGAATAGGAGTAGTACACACACACAGTAAAAATTAAGTAAACTTGACATTTGAATAAGATCTAGAAGGCCCAGAGCCAGGATTTTGCAAGCTTGAAGAATTCAGGTCACCTAATTGAAGAGGTCAAATTGAGGAAGACGTCCATGGCGACCACCAGAGGGATGAAGGCTTGAGCAGAAGACCCCCACAGTAGAAGACTGCGCATGTCTGGAAAGACTCCGCCCAGAGACTAGCCTACTTATTAATATGTATAATAAATGATGTAACCATGTATCTAAAGTGTATAAAATGGCTTAGTTTTGCACTTGCAAGTCGAGCAAGTTTGTCCAGCGCGAGCTGGCTTGCTCCCAACATTGAATAAACAAATACCTTGCTGCTTAAAGATAAAAAAGTCTCTGAGCAGTTTTTCGGGCCGATTTTTCAGATTCATTTGGCGACCAGCGGCAGCACACCTTCTCCACCCGTCTGCAGAATCCCTCGGAGGACGGGACCCCCTTGGGCACCCTCGGGTAAGTCTTTTTACCCGAAGGGGCTCCCTTCTTCGGTGGCTTCTTGCGGGAGCTGGACAAGAACACTGCCTATTGATAGAAGGTATTTGTATCTGGTTTCTGGTTATTCTGGTTCTGGATTCCCATAAGTCGAAGGTGGGATGCCATCCCTCGCAGGGATACGTGAGAGGACCCTCTCCCAGGGGAATATCCCCTCTGGTCTGGTCTGGTTTTGTTTGTATTTGGCCAATTATTGTTTATTTTGAGGGAAATAAGGTTGTCTTGTTTGTTTTCGGAAAAGTTATTGTGTGCCTGATATATCCTGCTTACCTTGAAACATCCAGGAGCACATAGTTAAAGGTATTATCATGCTAAGAATTGCTATGTGAGAGGTAGTGCTGAAGAGTTAACTATAAGCACACCACTTTGGATAAGACCTAGAATTAAGATTTGTCCACTTAGCAACTGTTGGTTATATGTACAAGCCTTGTGTACCAGATATAAGGTTTGCCTCCCCGACAGACAAGGTTGGGTCAGAACCACTGTGCATATTGTAGAAAAGAGGGACACTGGAAGCAAGAATGCCCTGAATTAACAGGTGGAAATACAGGCACAGGAGGGGCTGTTGTTGCTTACAGTGTACTGAGTGAAGGGGGGGGCCAGCAGGTCAGTGCCTAGGGGACCTGCTGGTAAAAATTAAGCTGGGGGAAGAAAAAGAAGAATTAGATTTTCTAATTGATACTGGGGTTACATTTTCTGTTTTGAATCAAAACTTAATACCTAAAAGTGATAAATATGCTTAAGTCATGGGTGCCACTGGCCAATCAGAAAAGCTTTCTTTTGAAACCCCTAAAGTTCAAAATTGGAAAACAAATGGGAGTGCATCAGTTTTTGTATTTACCAAATTTATCCAAACCCGTATTGGGCAGAGACCTACTAGAAAATTTGGGAACTGTAATAGAATTCAAACAAGGTAAAACTGAATTTAAGGTAAAGGAAGAACAATTAATAGCAGCTCTGAGTTTAGCAATGAGCTATGTGGAGCCAAGCCAGGGTAATTCAAATGTCAATCAAATTTCAGATCAGGTATACCCAGGAGTTTGGGCTATTGAAACACCAGGAAAGTCGAAAAGGGGAGTTCCCATTCAAATAGAATTACAGCCAGGAGCAAACCCAGTAATTAGGAAGCAATATGCACTGAGGCTAGAAAATAGATAACTTCTTGGAACTAGGACTTTTGTAGAGTGTGAATCAATTTTCAACACCCCAATTTTACCAGTCAAGAAGCCAAATGGAACACATAGGTTGGTTCAGGATTTAAGAGCAGTAAATAAAATAGCTAAAACATACATGCAGCTGTTGCAAACCTATGTATCCTATTAACAATATTA